CAAGCCTTTCCTTGTCCTTCCTCACATCTACCCTCTTGTCTGTCTCTCTTGTTACTCACTTCCCTTAGGAAGGGAATAGGCCAGAATGGCTATCCACCTGCCCTAAAGTCTCCATAGATGTTCTTTTTTTTTTTTTTTTAGATTGGAAAGTGAGACTAGGTCAATAGCTAACATTGGAGTGGACACTGGGGCCCCCTGGCGGCCAGTGTGCAGATTAGCCGGGTCCTGCCTGATTGTTGGGGTTGAGAGCAGAGGTTGAGAATTGGGACTTCTTCCCTACTAGTTTTAGGTAGATTTTCAAATAGGGAGACCTAGGTTTAACCAACTGATCCCCAGGTTATGATGGGGGAGTTGATACAGCACAGCTAATACCTGAGTCGAGATCAGATGTGTTGAAAGGCAAGAGAGGAGTGGTGTCAACAGCTATATGGTGATTTCTTGAATCTATAGAAGAGGAGGTTGGAGGAGCATGGGCTCCCTAACTCATCCCTAACTCACTCCCCACCTCATCCCTGACTTCCTTTTGGTTATTTCCAGCACTTCCCCAAACTACCTTGTTTTACACAAACTGACCACCGTGTCCCCAACACACTCTGGGTTCTCTGGTATTCACCTACTTTTCAGAGGCCAGGCTACCTCTCCAGCCCAGCCACAGGCCTCTAGTATGGTTTGCAGCCAGCACTGTCCACTCACTAGGTGTTGGGGATGCCAGTTTTTTTTTTTTAATTTATGCATATAGAAGTGGGGCACAGGCCAGAGGTGTGGGGGCAGTAAGAGGATTCAGCAGAGACAGAGTAGGGAGCAGAACAGACAGATTGAGGAAGTACACTGCTGAGGAGAGCAGCAGGGATGGCAGGTGAGGTCAGCCACGCCATGTGGTCACCTCTGGGGCAGGAATCGAACTCACAGTGAAGTGGCTGTGGCTCAATTGCAGTGCTGCGCTTTAACCCACTGTGCCACCATGGAGGGCCGGATGCCAATTTTTAATTTCAATCCTCATGGAGGGATGGAAAGGTCAGGGGGGCTTTACTAGGTGGCAGGAGTGGAGGACAGATGGCTCTGTAGGAGTTCACCAGAGAAGAGATGCACATTCAGGCAGAAGGAATGTGTGGGCAAAGGTAAAGTTGCAATATGGCCAATTCTGGAACTCAGAGATGCCAGCCCAATCTGGTTTCACTGCAGGGTTCTTAGCAGTGGCCTAGCAAGGAGGTATATTGAGGAGGAGCTGGTGAGGGGTTTTCATGATGTGTCTTGCAAAAAAAAAAAACAAAAATAGATAATAGCAACTAAAACTGGCATTTGGAGTAGACAGGGCCAGAAGGGGTCAGAGGATCAGGAGAAACCTGGGTTGAGGATTGGGCCAAAGTGAAACCAAGGTTGGAGGATAGGCTTACCACAGCAAACCTTAGACAAGGATTTTCTGTCCTCTAAAGATTGGCAAATAGGGCCTCCCTTATGGCCTAGGGGTTAAGTTTCAACACTGTCACCACCATGGCCAAAGTTTGATCTAGCTCACATATGGCACAACAGACCTCTCCAGTTCATCTGCTGCTCCCCTCAGCAGTGTATCTCGGTCTGCCTGTCTGCTCTGCTCCCTACTCTATCTCTGCTGAATCCTCTCACCCCTGCACCTCTGGCCAGTATCCTAGTTCTTCCAATGGAAGAATAAATAAATCTTCAGAAGATAGATCAGCAGTAACTTTCACCCACAATGACAGATGGGATAGAATAAGATACCTCAGCCAGAGAGTAGAATATTGTTCAGCTACTAAAAGGTATCTATTGGATACTTGCCCAAATGTTATAATTTTTTTCTTGTAAATCACTGGTGGAGGTATAAACTGTAATGTGGCCTTTTGGCTAAGATCGAGTATAGTATTGTATCTTTATCAGTTTAATACCTATAGAACATCCTTTCTCCAATACTTTTCTCCAATACCTAAGGTCGATTTTTTGAAAAGATGGAGTAAGAGCTAGCTAGTCCATTGTGCGTGCACATCTACCTGGTATTGCAGCAGCTTCTGGAATGATGTCCCATTGAGGGAATTTAAAAAATAAAAACTAAGTGGAAATTGAGACAATTCCTACAGAAGGCCATTTGGCAACAGCACCCAGAAGTACAAATGCCCACAGCCTGTGATCCAGCAGTTGCATTCAGGTATTCATTTTAATGTACCTGACCACCTGCACACCTATCAACACTGGATTGTTAAATGGATGACAGTACACCCACCACATGAAATACATACAACAATGAAAAGAAAAAGGACTCAACATACTGGTTCATAACAATATCTTTATAGGTCAGAAAGTGAGATTATTGCAATAACTAATATTGGGTTGACACTTGGGGTCTCTTGAGGGCCAGTCTGAGAGTCAGCAACAGATTGGGGAAATAAAGTAAGGTACAGGACAGTAAATAATCTATACTACCTTTGTGTAGAAAGCAAAAAAAAAAAAAAAAAAAAGTAAAAGAACACCAGTGGATTATCTTTTATGTTATAGATTAACTCTGGAAATATAAAATTAGCCAACAAGAAGCAGGGAGATTCTGGAGAGTAAATGGGTGTAGGGAGGCCTTTTATTGGATACTTTCATCTTTCCAATGAATGTTTTCCCTCTAAGTCTGATGCTAAATTCCCTAAACTTAGGACCTAGTAGGCTCTGTATGTGTGTGTGTGTGTGTGTGTGTGTGTGTTGGGGTTGGGGGTGGTGGTGACTCAGGCAGATTGCAAATTGCCATTCTGAGGGCTGGCATTGGGTTTAGACCCTCTCCTCTGGTCACACAGTCTGGTGCAGCTCTGTTCATGCTGGGCAATTCCCATACTCCTACTAAGAGGCTTTCTCCCCTCCCTTCCTCACTCTTCCTAATCATCGGGTTGGGTTCCTTTCTCCATTAGTGGATGTGCACTGCCTTAACCATTCCCTCCAGTCCTACTCCTCTTGTATCCTCCCAGACTTCAGCGACAAGCCGAGCTGGGGATGCTCCCACCACTTCCTTCAGGAACCTACTCGCAGGTTACTTAGAGCTGAAAGCCCTTGGAGACCCTGGAAGATTAGAGACGTCCAGAGAAGAGCAGCGCTGACAGCTCCTGGACAGCCCCTGGACACCAGTCCTGTCTCCCGGATTCCGGCTCTTCACCCCAGCCCACCCACAGGACCGAGGGTGCCGCTATTCCCGATCTCTGCGGTTTCTAGGAGCGCTCTTGAGCTTCGCGCCCTCCATCCCCACCCCACGCAGCTTCCGCACCACCCGAGTCCCCCCTTCCTTCCTCTTCGTCCCCCCTTCCTCTTCCTCGGGTGGCTGTGCTGCCGGCGCTGCAGCCAGGTGTGAAGGTCTGGAGCACTTGCAGTCGGGCGCCCAGGTAGTTGTCTAGAGCAGAGGTGGCGAAGCAATGGTCCTGGATTCCCGTGATGGGGCTGCACTCAGGTAAGCGCAGCGACAGGTCCACCGGTCGCCTTGAGGGACCATGTGCGTGAAGCTGGGCCTGCGCACTGCCCAGGCTGCGGCGCCATACCGTCCAGTCCAGGAGAACCCGTCCACAGAGGTGGGGCAGGGAGCGCGCACTCACAAGGAGTCTGACTCCCAGCGAGGTTAGGATTTGCCTTGGTGGTTCGCTCCAGTCTTTGCCCCCAACCCTGGCGGATTACATCACACGGAAGACCAATCACACGCAGTTCCTAGATCCTGGGCTTTCCAACTCGGGAGCTTACTGTTCCCCTGACTTCAGCGCTTGACAAACTTAGCTGTACATTAACCAGGGACCCCCTCCCCACCGATGGAGAATTAAACAAGAAAAAAACCATCAAGGTCCCAGTTTTCCTGTCAGAACCTGGGGCTGCACGGAGGTGGGCCAGCGATGCTTGGGTTACCTTTACCTCACCTTGCCCTCTTCCTTCCCTTGACCACTAGGAATGTTTCTTGAATACACCTGGAGCTCCAGGGCACCCTCCCCTTCCTGCCCACAGCTGTAAACATCACCAAGTCTATACACACAAGCACTTCTGGGCTAAGCCACAATATCTGTGTTCCACAATTGACTGCTGAGCCAAAGAAGCAGGGTGTGCAGGGAAGAGCAAGGGTGAGTCAGGTCTTTAAAGGGAGCTGGATCTCAGAGCCTCTGAAAATCCTTCAAGTGTAATGGTTTCTGCTGCTGGGTGAAGTTTCAAGACACCTAGCCCTGACCCTCTTCAGGTAGAGGGTATGTTTTGCCAGGTAAATTGTTGACCAAATATACCTTTTCAAACTTAAACATCTTTCATTTTATCTTCCAGAATGACAGCTTTGACCTTTTCATTCAAGACAAACTTTGCTGACAAGCTCTACAGAATCCTCAAAGTAGGAACCAGGAGTGCCTTTTAGCAGCATAGTTCTATATAAATATGGATTGGGTCTACATCCCCAAACTCACTTCTGGAGGGTTACAGCCAAATCTCTCAATACACAAATAGGCATACCAACAGGGTACATGGAGCTGAGGGGCTATCAATGTGCACCCAAGGAAGACAGTGGGCATCCTCACTTTAAGCTGTCCACCTGAAGGTCCTGGAGTTCATCAGGCAGGTCACTGGCAGCAGACTAGGAAAGGATTTGAGCGAGCTGTTTGCAATCACATCCTGACAGGAGCATTCTGTTTTTCACAACTTCCCCTTGAAACCCATGCAACCCTGGCTAGCTTGTGCTGAATAAGTAAGTCTTTGGGTATGGGTGACCTGAAGAAAAATTTTCCTTGGTAGAAGTCAACTGTTAGCACATCCTCAGAATGTGGATGCACCAGTCCCCTTACAGCACTCACTGTGAGCCCTTAGTGTGGGAAAAGGTCAACACCAGACCCCACTGTTTTGTGGACAGCAATGTGGTCATAGTCGGGGCTGGGTTGCAGAAGGCATCCTTAAGAATCAAGTATTCCACAGGTGTTCTACCTCGTGTTGAGCTGGTAGCTGGTGGGAGCTAAGGGCCTCCAGGTACTGAGGAGACACCAAAACAGCAAGGCTGCCGCTGCCATGGGCTGATACAAGTTTTATTGAGACAAGGTACAAACAGGCCATGGAAATAAGGGCTCTGATGCTGGGACCAGTAACATAAAATGAAATACAAAAATAAAAAGGCACTAATCTGTTAAGAAAAGACACTCCATGTATTCTAAGAATATAAGTCATTTAATACTGTTAATTTTATAGCACAAAATAAAACAAGCTATGATCCCCAAAAATAATTTTAAAAGCTTACACAGAAAATATTATTGCCTGAAGTTTATGATCTTTTAAGTTACAGGTCAAAAGTTTTGTGTTGTCTTTTTTAAAACACACAGTGAAGACCGTCTAGAAGCAAGGCCACTGTTCCTCGGGCAGAGACAACAACCCTGTCTCAGAGAACTGTTTTTCTACTCCTTTAGAATATATAACTAGCTCAGTGTCCACACTGACAGCAGTTACTAGGGACATAGTTCTCTGGTCCCAGAGGGTGAAGTTTGAGGCAGAGCTCCGTGGTGTCCACAGAAAGCATTAGTCTTAGGTACTGTGTTAAAACAATCAATTCACTTATTTGAAGAGGTTAATGAACATAATATTAGGATTAAATTAGAAACACCTGGCATAAAACACATGATCCCTTTTCAAAAATAAAATGTTCATATTCCTCTGAGCAAACATAAGAGCAGTGGCCATCTGCTGGCCTGCCTTGTCTGTAAACAGCTGTAAAAGAAAGTTGGCACAGTGCCCATGATGCTTGAGCTCCAAGGGGAGCAGCTGTCCTTCCCTCCTTTTAGTTTTCCAACCATGAATACACAGGTGCCTCTTCTAGGCAAACAGTCATCAAGTGGCAGCCAATCAATGTGCCCCTTCCACTAACCCTTGCCCTAACCCTTGCCACACTGCACAGGACTTGGCAAGGACGACTTCTGTGATGGAGGTCATTCCCAGGATAACTAAGTTTTTAACCAAACTGTCAATGCCCCTTAGTACTTAATTCATTCACTTCCCAAGTGAGTTATTTTGACACCCAAATTTTTCTTAAACCACAAATTTGGAATCCACCCAGGAGCGAAGGCAGCTAGGGTACCTGATGCCTTCCCAGATCATGGGGGAACCCAGGCACAAAGCTGGGTTTCTTTTTTTGTATATTTAGTGTGAAAAGGATTTCCTAGCCTGATTATAAATCTAAGCTTCTAAGTTAAAAAGTCACTACTTTTGGCACATATCTTGACAGTTTAGAACTCACCTTATTTTGGGCTACAATTTGGGCAGCCCCAGACATATACATGGGCTAAAGTAATGAGTGGACTTCTTATGAAGCCAACCTAGGTTATGGGGGTGTTCTTATTCTGAAGTCCTCCACATGAGGTGAAAGGAAACCTTGCCTCCCATATACTTCTTGTGCTCTGAAGTCACCACTTCACCAACCACTGTCACAAAAAAAGGTTTGAGCCTCTCTGTTAAATTTAGTGTAAAAAGGCCTTAGGGCTTGTGCCCTTTTTGAGCACAGCACATATATAGTCCTCTTCCAGCCACATCAGGCCAAATGGGGCACTGATTGCAGGGTAATCACCATTTCCAGTCAGCGTGCAGGAAACCTGCCACACATGTCACTTGGGGATGGTAGGCTGGGCCAAACTTGGAACAAGAGTCAACTGCAATGGACAGACATGGTCTGAGCAGAAGGTGGTTGATTGTTTTTTTCCTTTTTCCCCCCCTCCCCCCAAGAAAACCAAAGACAGTCAGCCACAGTGGTACTTTTTTCCAAGTAACCATAGATTTTGTCATCCTCAAGAATTTTTAATATGGCAGCTACTTGCCTGACGGAATACTGATTTAAAGAAAAACCATAAAATGGCTGTTTTGCTAGTTCTATCACCAGAGTACATTACTCTAAACCTCAAAACCTAAGTGGCTCTAGAGACAGGGCCATGGTTTCTAACAGATGTTCAGTGAATGATACTCATTAGGTTGTTGCTACATTTCTAGGTCTGCTTATTCAAGCTGAGCACAAGCCTGTTTTCACCAGGGAGAAGGGAAGAGACGAATGCATGAAGTCTCCAAAATTCTACTCTGCTACATGCAGATTAGGGTTGGATCACGCATCTGTACCAGCTGGGTTGTATGAACAGTCCTCTTTTTAGCTGACAAGGAAACTTGAACATCACACTGATAAACTGTTAATGGTGAATTAGTTAATGGGTCTCTCTAATCACTAAAACACTAGACATCCACTTCATTAACCAAGTTTCAAAACTTGCACTCTTAGCTTGGAAGCCTGGTGGATGCCTAGACTGTGGAATCAGTATTAAGCAGCACCATCTTTCTCTGGCAGCCTTGTGAGTTTAAGCTGAGGCAGGGAGGACTGGATTTCAGTCTATAAACAAACTCACTTTTGAAAGAAGTTTAAGTCCTATAACTTAAAAGGAGGGGTGCACTCATGACACACTGGGCAGAAAGTGGGCCAAGTACTCCCTGTCACTGGTGAACAAGGTAAGCAAAGGTTTCCCCCAAGTCACCCCCTTCCCCCAACACACACAAACACACACACTGATGCTTTCGAAGACAATGTAATCCAAGAGACTGCACACAGCCTGGCACACTGGGAGTGATGGACTTTGTGTTGTTTTTGTATGTCAACCAACACAGTAAGGCCTCACCTTCAGAGTTGTTTTTCGCATTCCTTTAGTTAGAGCAGCTTCAGTTTAGAAGCTCAGAGGCATGTGTCACTCCTTGTAATAACACAGAAATCCAATCTGCTACTTAAAACTGTTTAGAACACAAAAATTCTAATTGGTCTTCCAAAACCAAATGAAAACAAAAGTCAGATTTTGGGGAGTTTTAAGACAGAATTCCCTCTTCTTTAAGGTTCACTTTCTGTTCTTCAAAGGAAAACAAAATGGCGACTGAACCACTGCTTTGTGGAACAGCAATGTGCAGTGTCTTGCCATGGCCTCAAGCTTTTCTGATGGACATGACAAAATCAGTCACAGTATAAACAGGGCAGTGATGAGAAGGAAGACCCTTTGTTAACTTCTCTCCACTTGTGTGCTTCCACCAGTATTTCCAGTTTATGTTCCAAAAGAACTCTACAATACAACTATGATACAAATGCCGAGGCAGCCACTGTGTGCATTCCAAATGTGTATGACAGATCACCAGTCTATAGAAAGCTGGACGCTGGCAATGCAGTGTAATTTGCCTATTAGAATACTTTCTCACTTCAAAGGAGACTATGACAGGCAGAACAATGAAGCAGCAGGGAATGGGGCAAGAGAATCACTCATTTTCATCTGGGTTTTGAGGGTCAAAGATTTTGACGTGTGTAAAAGGGAAAAGCCCTTTTCGCCCATTCACCTCGCCTTCCCACTGGCCATTTATATTCATCCTTGTAACTTTCACAATGTCACCAACCTGTAAGGATACAGAAAAAAGACAAAGTCAGCATTTCCTCTCCAAACTAAAGAAAAGATTTACACTAAATCACATACTATTCCATCCAAAGGAAAATCAAGTGTTACCAAAGACACAAGGTACTGCCCCAAGAAACCCAAATGCCTCTCTCCTCAGCTGTGAGAATGTGTTATGTGAAACACCTTCTAAGCACTAAAACTGTGCCATCTATCCCACCTACTTCACACCCCCCCCCCCGCAATACTGGTTACCAATTTCAATAGCACACAAATGAATGTGACTCTGAGACTGTCATGTGACACAAGAAATCCACCTCTATCTTAATCCACAATGGCTGGAACAGCCGCCAATAAGGCCTCTCTCACCATTGCCAACTCCTCTGAGCAGCAGAGTTGTGTTCCTGAGCTGTCCATTCCCCTTCCTCTGTGTGGGGGCAGTCAGTGCAGGAAGAAGGCCCAGTTCTGAGTATCTTTTTAGGCCTATTCTAAACTGGAGGGTGGTAGGATTTTTTTTTTAAAGATTTATTTATTTATGCATACAGAGCTGGGGTACAGGCCAGAGGTGCAGGGGCGGTGAGAGGATTCACCAGAGACAGAGTGGGGAGTAGAACAGGCCGACTGACAAAGTGCACTGCTGAGGGGAGCAGTGGGCTGGTCAGGGGAGGTCTGTCACGCCAGGTGGGTCACCTCCAGGGTGGGGATCAAACTCATGTGGAAGTGGCTTCAGCCTCTTAGTGCTTTAACCCACTGTGTCCCCAGGGAGGGCCCAGTGGAAGGAATTTTATCTACTGCCATAGGACAGGTACGAGTTAGTCAAAGGCTACTCTTCTCAAGGGGAAGGCAGGAATTTTGGAAGTCGTTTCTAAGTTGTTCTAGAGAGCTCTAGAAGATGTTACAAAGGTCTACCATGTCTGATTGGGACTTCAACTTTTAAACTTGTATTTTATAAAGTTATAATTAAAAAAATAAAACTGGCCCTCCCTGGTGGCGCAGCGGGTTAAAGCACTGCACTGAGAATCTAAAGCCACTTCCGCATGAGTTCGATTCCCGCCTGCCCCGGAGGTGACCACATGGTGTGGCAGACCTCTCCTGACCCACCCGCTGCTCCCCTCAGCAGTGTGCTTTGTCGATCTGCCTGTTCTGCTCCCCACTCTGTCTCTGGTGAAGCTTCTCACCGCCCCTGAGCCTCTAGCCTGTATCCCGGTTCTGTATGTACAAATAAATAAATCTTTAAAAAAAAAAAAATAAATAAAATAAAACTAACAATCCTTCAAATGTACTCTGGCTATCCTGCTGCTTTTCACGTACACTTCACTGGAATCAAACATTTTATTATGCATCTGATTGAAGATTGGCCAAAAATGGCAAGGTAAAGGCTACAAGACATCCATCACCACCTGAAACAAAGGCCATTCAGAAACAAGATGGATGCAGGGGCTGACATAAGTCCACACCTACTACTCATGTTATTTCAAATTTTGAGGGTCATTTTTTAACTGCCAACTTTCTTCCTATCTGCCTTTTAAAAGTTATCCCTGATGGCACAGCGGGTTAAAGCACAGCGCTAAAAAGCTAAAGCCACTTCAGCATAAATTTGATCCCCAGCCCCAGAGGTGACCCACATGGTGAGGCAGACTTCTCCTGACCCGCCTGCTGCTCCCTCAGCAGTGTACTTTGTCGACCCTCCCTACTCCGTCTCTGGTGAATCCTCTCACCACCCCACCATCTCTGGCCTGTACTCCAGTTCTGTATGCATAAATAAATAAATCTTAAAAAGTAATCCTTATCTCCACTTATAAAATTTGTATGTATAAAAAAATTTTCTTTGGGGGAAAATGGGTTTTCCATTAAAGCTCTTAGTCTAAGATCTCAAAGCTGATGAGGCAACTTTAAGTTTTATTAATTTTCTTATGAAAAATCTGTATAGTCATTGCAGAATCTATTCATTTTGCCAGCACCAACATTGGCCTGTATAGGACTTTCTTCATTCTCTCCTTATGTTTCTTTCATTGTTTTCTTGAGTTCTTTTCCAAAACTTGTTTGGGTTCATTCTTCTTTGTGTAATCTAAGTAACTGTAAATCACACCACAATTCTTTTATCAACATGGGCTCTAAATGCAAAGATGACATCTGGAGTGGTTTTTGTATATTTTAGCTAGTTTTTTCCACAAATTTTTGTTTGCATTCCCAGAGCAAAGGACAATACAATAACCATTTGTTTCTGCTGAAAAAGCGGTCAGTTGGCCATTATGTCCTAGCAATCAAGCAGGAAAAGTGAGACAACTTTTAGAAGTCCACCAGCACACAGTTTTGCTCATGCATGCAACTGCCACTGGTGTGAAGCCACATCATACATACCCTGCCCCAAATTCCTGGTGCTCACAAGCCTTGTGCAGAGCCACCTCTGCCATTCCTGGATGAAAACTTTTAAAAAAGATTTCTTAATTTAGGCATACAAGAACTGGGGAACAGATTAGAGGTATGGGGGGTGGGGGGGGGAGGTGAGAGGATTCACTTGAGTGTGGAGCAGGACAGGCATATTTACTGAAATACACTGCTGAAGGGAGCAGTGGGCAGGTCAGTAGAATTCTACTGTGCCATGTGGGTCACCTTCCTGGCCAGGGATTGAACTCATGCTGCTGCAGAGGCTGCGGATAGCTTCATACTGCTGCACTTTAACCCACTGCACCACTAGAGAGGACCGGATGAATGTTTCCTGTGATGAATCTAGAGAATGGCTGTTTCTGAAGTAGAGTCACTTGAATTATTTTATAAGCTGTGGAAGACTCAGGCAGAAACAACATAACCAAGTAATACTGTTTAAATATGGCCCTTCCTGGTGGCGCAATGGGTTAGGACGCAGCCGCTTCAGTGCAAGTTCGATCCCCAGCCCCAGGTGATCCACATGGCGCAGCAGACTTCGTCGATGTGCCTGTTCTACTCCCCACTCTGTCTCTGGCGAATCCTCTCACCGCCCTTGCACCTTTGGCTTGTACCCCAGTTCTGTATGCATAAATAAATAAATCTTAAAAAAGGAAATACTGCTTAAATACAAGGTCTAAGATGAAGAAAAAGCTCAGTAATTAGATAAACAAGCTCCAGACTCTAATACTTAATCTTAAGGTCCAAATAGGTCAGCCATTTTTAAGGAAGCACCTACAGGGGTGATTAAGGGGTTTGGGGACTTTCTCTTTAGGTGAATTTGAGTGCCTCAATATATGCCATCAGAAAGCTGACAACTCATGCTGCAAAGAAAAGGCCAAGAAAGATGGAGAAGGGAAAAGAACCCCCATGGAAAATACTCACATCAGGATATCAACTCCGTGGCCCCAGCTTTACAAACAGTTTCTACCTGCAGGTTTGCTTTTGGACACATCGTTACCCTTGACATTTCACATAAATCAACCTCCTGTAAGGTAGGCGGGGTAACAAACAAAAGGTGGGTGGGGCCCTCCTCAGGGCACAGGGTGGCCAGTCATGAAGCACAGATACAAGGCAAGGTAGCTCTCAGTCCTGTACACCTGTACCTGGGAACCATTTGACCACTTCTTGGACTCTACTCTCCAAACCCCTCTGTCTTCAATGAATGTCCTATCTTTGTAACTGCCCCTGTGAATGAAGACTGTCTGCTATGAGTTTTCTACCTTCCCACCCTCCATTTTTTTTTATTCTATTCTCACTGGGATGCATAGGACCCAGTCATATATAGAATTACTTGTAATACCCCCAAGTCTACTCAGAAATGGATGTAGTGCCAGCATTTAAACAGAAAACAGCACTAAGTTTTTAAGCACTAAGATCACCAAGTGGAACTTCTTGCCTTGTGGGAAACTGGCTCATTTTGAGCACTTGCTAAAATAACAATGGGGGGGGGGGCAGAGAAAGAATTTTGCTGCCTAAGGATCCCTGGTTAGAACATAATATAAATTCAGGTTAATCAGGTTAATTTTGGTCTGAGTTCCCTGTCTGAATTCCGACTCAGACTCCTTTTGTTTAGAACCATAGTTCAACTCAACTGAAGGATGGCTTGTAAAGAGTTAACCTGTTAATTAACAATTAGATTTTATGCAATAAAAGGTCTAAGATGAAAACTTAATTGTTCAGACTTATGAAGTCAAGTACTAGATCTGCCAAAAACAAGGTGTGAAAGTCAACTACTAATTGCATGTATTTATGAATTCTATTATTTTAATTGAAAATTAAAAAAGCTCCAAAACAACAAACCCCCCAAAACCAAATAGCTCTTGGGCCTCCCTGGTAGCTTAGGGTTAACGCTTAGTGCCATCACAGCTAAGGCCTGGGTTCTCGTGAACCCTCAGAGGAGGAAAAACCCTCCCTGGCCTCTGTTTGAGCCAGGTCCCAGGATGGAGGGGAGGCAGAACGT